TGCCAGTGTTTCTGGAGAGTATCATGTGACTATTTTGATTTGAGATCCACAAGAAAGTAATCTTAATTAGTTAAGATTACTGATTTTGGAGTTGGATATAAGTGATTTCTAATCCTGACTCCATTATTAACTACCTGTGTTAATTTGGGCAAGTTATACAACCTTTCAAACCTCAGTTTTCTAGTCTGACAAATAAAGATTGCAATATTTTCCTTAAATATTGTGAATATGGCATATAGTAGTTGCTTAAGGAATGACAGGTACATTATTGACCAGCTAGGGCTAATAACTAGGACTTACGCCTTTTCTGCACATTTTTGACTCACTGTTACCTTGTCATTGGAGTTACTTCAAACCTAATTCTACTCTTTCCAATTCACATAATCTTGGGACACGTCTCCTACGTTATTGAAAAGTGACAAGCCATCCATCATCCAGTGTTTATTGAGAACCCACTATGTGCCAGGAACTGTTTTTCGCAATGAGTCTGTAGCAGTGGGTCAGACAGACAAGTCTCTATCTCAGTGAAGCTGGAAGTCTATTTCTTCAACTTCTGTGTTTTATACTTCAAAATATCTTATTTATATTTACTTCTCTTTTCTGCCTTAGGCCTGTCTCAGAGGAAGATTGTCCTTATTCCTTTCCAAAACTACCTTAATTCTCTTCTTATCTAGCTGTCCCAGACTCTTGCTCCAGCAACTATTGATCCACTGTGTCTCCAGTCTCTCTCCCCATTAGATCATCTTTTTCTCTGCACAAAATTTTCTCTCATCTTCTTAATGAGGAAAACACAAGTAAACCTCATGTGAACATGCTTATTGTTTTTCTTTGCTTCCTTCTGTTTCCATTGTTTCTCGATCTGGCTTTCACACCAAGTCTATTTATATAGCTCTCTGCTAAACGTGACCTACCATGGCCTTTTCTTAGCTGTTTTTCTCCCTTGAAATCTGAAGCACTTATTCTTAAGACGTGTCTTCTATGACACTACTTATACCCAGTTCTCCTGCTATTTTCTATCACAATGTGTCATCCTTTGCTCTTAATTTCATGTCTTTATTGATTTTCTCAACAGATATTTATTGAGTGGCTGTTATGGGCACTTGAGTGTAGGTCATACAGAAGCTGTAGAGAGATTCTACAGATTCTAGCTCCTTCACTAAAACCTCAGCACTTTTCTCTTGGCGATCTCACCTGCTACAAATCCCAATTTATGTCTTCATTAGTAATATTCCACTGAACTTCGTTCCTTCTGCTTCTGCCTGTCATGTCTGCCTTCTGTTCCACACATTGTTTCTCAAACTCCACGTTTCAAATGGATGTTACCATATTCACTTAACTAATACTTTCTTGTAAATTCTACATATCTGCTGATATTATCTTCTAGTCGCTGAGGCTTTAGGATTTAAAATGACCTTTGTTCTATTCCTTAAACCTATCTCTGGTTTTTATACTCATTGCTACCATTTGCTTGTGGTTATTTTACTTCCTTCTTGAACTATTATCAATCAAGTACTGACTCTTTTAACCACCTTTCCAAAATCTTTTCTGACCTTCTAACAAAGTTCAAATTCTTCAGCCCTGGTATTCAATCTTCTCTAACAATGGCCTCAATCTCATATTCCATGGACTCTTCTATCACCTGGTTATATGCTGTCGTCCTTCAGTATCACCTTCCCCACCTGTACTCTTCACTCTCACTCCTGCATGACCATGAGCATCCCTGCCATACCATGCACATGCTCTCTGCTTATTGTGGCTCATGGAAGTTCATCCATCCTGCAAGTTCCACCACATGTGCCCCTTTATCCTTTCTCTCTCCAAGCATAATAACCTCTCTCTCTTCTGAAACACAGTAGAATGTTTTATTTCTTTTGTCATTCATCTTATACTACATTGTATCTTCTCATCTCACTTAGGAGGGTTTGAGGTCTTTGAGAGTAGAGACTTGCAGCATTCCTGTTTATATTCTACAGGATACTGAGCACAGCACCTTACTCAATAAGCATATGTTAAAAGGATAAATTAGTTGAGAACATCTCTCTCTCTCTTCAAAAGTGGTTATTTACCACAAAAGTACACCAATAAAGTAATAAACTATATCCAGGCTGAGTAGTCTTCAAGAATACAAAGTAATTGCTATGCATGCAACTAATTTCTCTTTCTCTGTCATCCAGTTATCACATTAAAGGAGAACCTCCTCTGAGCCAGGCACAGGGAACAGGGTACCAAGTCATGGGACATAGTCATTTCTCTAGAGATGTTTACAGTCTTTGAAACTGACATGCATGCAAATGATTACAACGTAGAGTAAAGGAGCTTTACCTGGGAACTTAGATGAAAAAGATACTCCAAATAGAAAAATTACTAAATGAGGAATGAATTTAAAAGCATGCTTTTGTGAAATATTCTTTATGAAACTTTAAAAAAAATCAGTTAGCATTTTCCATCCTCATATCCCTGAACCTTACTATAGCAAATATAGTGATGGGTTTTCTTGAACAAGTCTCAAAACGACAAAAATCTTGCAGAAATAGTGTATTTATTTTCCATAAAGCTACTTAGGCTGCCTGACATCCAGTTTGCTTGAATGGGGCTGGAATTTTTAATCACAGGTGAGTATAAGTTACAGTATTGTAAACAATATTTGCTTGGTGGAAAAAAAAATGTTTTAAAGACATGATGAAAGGGGATTCAGTGTTTTCTTTTCATAAAAAGGTTTCTATTGAGTTATGTCTGCGTCAGGGAGTGTGGCCTCTGTTGTAACCCATACACAGTAGGTGCTTAGTGTACACCGGCTGAATGATGACAGTTGGAAGGCCCATCTGTCCAGGAAGTTCTGTGAAATGGGGATTTTTCCCATTTAGCTTTGGAAAGAAAAGGCTAGTTAAATGCAGAAGTGCACATACTACTCCGGAGAATTTAAAATGTTCAAGTGGGCAACACAGACATATGTTCTAAAGGTTAATTAAATCACACAATATAGTAATTCAGTGATGTTATATAACTTTTAAATATTGGTTATATTTCTAGGTTTTATTTCCTCTTAGCACTTTGCTCCAACTCAACTCAGGCAAGAGAATGAGTACATTCTTTATGATTAGAAGGGACTTTTTGCCATTAGACCATTCTAAATTGATAGTTTTTATAGCCCGACAAGAGACCAAGTCATCATTACCTGGAGGGAACCACTTAAATCATCTGAAGATGGCTATTCTGTTCTGACGGAAAGTTTGAGTTGACAGCTTGAGATACTAAGTCTCAGTCCCCGGGTGGCAAGGGTCAGTTTTGCTGTGGAACTGACAGTTTCCCCCCGTGGGGCGGGTGGACTAGATTGGGAAATGTACAGGAGGAGAGCCTGTCAAGGAAATTCAAGGAGCAGAGCTGGTAAATTCTAAAGGGAATTCTAACCTGGTCCCCAGATTGAATCATAAATGCTTATATTTTATGGACTGATACAAGTGTGCAGAAGATAAAAAGGAAGAAGCAAAAGAAAGAGCAAAGAGTGGAGGGTGTGGAAGGAAAATATATCAGAAGAGACATAAAACTCTATGGCTTGTCCAGCTCATCATTTGTTGAGATGTGACTAAGATACCAATTTGGGGAGCTATTTTAGTGATGATTGAAATTTTTTGAGACATTTCTTTAATGGTGATTCATGGAAACTGAGTATTATATTGCATTAAAATTTCGCAATTATAGGAAACCATTCTAGTAACAAGCAATGGAAATTCATTCTTCCATCTCTGGACTGGCTGCCCAGTCCAGTCCCAGGCAGGATGAGTCTTATGATTCTCTTATAAAAAAGAGACACCTGGCCAGAAATGCATTATTGGAAGTGTGAATTTGTAATGAGTATGAAATGGGATATGTAGTCATAAAGGGATTTTTTCCCCTACAACCAGGCTGTCTTTTATATTTAAACTTTTGCTGCTTGCAACCCACTACTTTGTAGTTAAAATAATTTGGTGCAGATTGAAATATCTTCTTGAAGGCTTATTTGTATTTAACATACAAATTTGTGATCATCCAGGCTTAACAATCATTACTTCGAGTGTTTCATATTGATTACATGTGTACCTTTTTGCACTGATATTATTCTACAATATTATAATAATTGTTCTAGGTGAGGTAAACTCTTAAATTAGTATTTTCTTCTGTTACTCTAAATATTTGTATCAAACATATATGTTTTACTTGTATATGGATATATGGCTACATCCAGGCTCTAAAATAAATAGACAGGAAATAAAAATAAGTAGCTTGTTGTAATACTGATAGCTCACATTCATATCATGGTTACTATTTTTCACACCTAGTCTGAACTGCCTGGCATATATTAATTTGTTTAAGTTTCAGAACAACCATGTTAAATTGGTACTATTTTTTCCTACACTTTACAAGTAAAAACAGTGAGGAACAGGGAACGTTAAGTAATTTTCCTGAGTAAACATGGCGAGTGGCAGAGGCAGGATTTGAATTCCAGCAGGCTGACTGCTCTGTGCTCCCTGCTCCCCACTTCTAGAGCTAACTTGTTCTTAGGTGGAGCCGGGGTAAAAGAAGTAGCTATGTTACTCCAGAGCTATATTTTAATATGATTGTTTGTTTATTAACATGAGTATCCCTTTCTTACTAGACTAGAAGCTTGTAGGTAGAGAAACCATGTTTTATTCACTTTGTCATATACAGTGCTCAATAACATTTTTATTAGCCCTGAATTACAGCTTATTATTGCCCTGAGATAGCCTATCCAGGATACCTCTATTTTGAAGTCATTGGTTTTATATACACAAAAATTTCAGATTCACAAAATGAAGAATGCAATTGTGACCTGTAAGTGAATTATTGTGCTCATGATTCTCTTATTTCTTAACTATTTTTAAGAATAAAATAGCATCAACAAAGTAGACTATTTTTGATTTATATAGGATAGCTTTAGAATCATGTTACTTGGTTGAAATTCTTTTCTTTTTTTCTTTTTTTTTAAATGCTCCTCTCTACAGGGTGCTGCTTTGATTAGAATGCTGGCTAATTTTATGGGCCATTCAGTATTTCAGAGGGGTTTGCAAGTAAGTAAAATGCTTTCTATTTTGTCTTACATTTTTCCTTGTCAATATATTTATTTTAAAGATATTTCACAGCTTGGGAAATTGCTAATACAAAATCACTGAATTTGATGGAAAAATTTAAGATGGATGAGTAAGGTCAGCAATGTCCTTCCATCTGACAAATGAAAGTGGTAGAGAGGACACTTGCTGTATCTACCAATACGGCTCAAACTATTACACAATTTAGAATCAGTTGTTTAATATGCATTTTTAAATTGAAGAAATTTTCAAATATGTAAGATTCTAAATAATCTTTTTAAGATTTTCTGAAAGCTTACTTACCTTTTTTCCATTTAAAAGTTTATATAAAGTGAAGACAAATTATGTTAGCCTTACTAAAATTATATCTTTGAGAAAATCTTAATGCTGTTTTTCAGATATGTTTTTATGTTGTTGTTTTATTGTTGGTGTACATAAGTTGTTATTTGTTCCAAATAATATTTATATGTCTTTTTAAATTAGAAAATACAACATTTTAAATAAAAGAAAAAATAAAGTGTTTTATAATATTGCATTTAGAGTATGAAGTATGGAATCTGAGTGAATTCTTAGAAAAGAAAGATTCTTTAGCTCTCTAAAGCAAACACAAATATAGAAAAATAGAATTTTTTTTTCATTGAATCTGTTGGAGTAAATCATGTTACTAGCGGCTGTGATTGATGAATTATTTATGCTGCATTCTGCTACTTAGAAGTGTCCTTTAAAGTAAATTGATGTTCACCTGAAATACAATTATGCTAAGACAGAGAGAGCAATCAATCTTATCTGTTCTTAGTAAGCTTTTCATCTTGAAATTTAAATGAACTACATATGGGATCAGGTCATATTTTAGTAGTATAAGTCTATTTTTATACAAAATAAACTAAAAGATAAAATACAAAGCAAGAGTTAAACATATGACAAAGCTATATATACTTAACACAACAAAGAAAAAAATAGCAATTTCTTGAAGAACACTTTCCCTTAGAAAATATTTTTACAGATTTGTTCCAGCAGGTGTTGAAATTTACTTTAATCAGCTCTTTCCATTAGGGACATCTTCAGAATAGCTGAATTCCATTGAACCTATTTGCTGAGTGCTAAAGTCTCTATTCTGATCACACAGTTGGGAAAATCTTTTTTCTTAAGGAGTGCCCTCCATGAATATCAACTGTCTAGAGGAATGTCCTTTCTTATCCCCTCTCCTTTGTTTTTCCTCATTGAAGTTGTAGCATGACAGTTCCAGAAAATATCTAAGCTTTCAAAGGGCAACACAAATTGAATTTGATTACCTGGTGGCAAGTTGATATGAAATCATTTTCTGTATACAATTTTTATTGTTTTTCCTCATCTGTGTGTATGGATTTGCTCAGCAGATTGAATAACTATAGTTATATTATTTGGAAAGGATTATTGTTTGGCAACATTTTTCTTTATCTTGTGCTTTCTATAGTATGCAAAATATATCAATTTTTAGTACACCCCTTTCTACTGACTCACTCTGTTCTGTTTTATCTGACCCAGTTAGCATGCACCCTCTGAGTCCCATTATATTAAACTTTCATTGGAAGCTTGTGTTAACGTGTGCCTAGATGCTCTGATACTTGATTTGGTTAATTTTCAACTGAGGGACTCTATGTTTGTCAACGTTGCATTTCATTTGCCTGGTGACATGTCATTGATCAGATAGATCTGTATCCTTCCGTACTTGGCTTGCAGCGTTATTTAGACTCATCGTTCAAACTGATTTAGTGGATCATCAGCAGTTTGGATTAGTTTACAGTAGATCCCTCCATCTGGGTGATAAATTATCATTTCTTGTGCTTGAAGATGTATGGGATACATTTTGGAAATGACCTCCCGAACAGACACTTCATGTCATGGTGCTGCGTGGTCACAGAGTTGATATTAATATATTTCCCTTCCACAAGGCTCTGGGGAGTCTTGCTTTACATGTTGTTGGAAGAGCTAATCTGCAGTGGCAGTGCTTACCTCTGCTGGAAGTCGATTACCTGTTTTTGCATCGCCATGGCTGTTTCTATGCTACCAATGGAAGTTTACATTTGCAGACAGACCCAGGGTCAGATTTACGGGTGTAGGCAATCCCAAATTGCATATAGTATGTTTTTCATATATTTTTTTCTCCCTTTCTTCCTCCTCCTTCTCGCCCTCTTTCTTTTCTTCCTTTTTGTTCTTTTCCTGTTTTCCCTAAGGATTGGCACCTGAGCTAACAACTCTTGCCAATGTGCTTTCCTTTTCTTTTTTTCTTTCTGCTTTTTCTCCCCAAAGTGCCCCGGTACATAATTGTATATTTTAGTTGTGGGTCCTTCTAGTTGTGGCATGTGGGACGGCGCCTCAGGGTCGCGTGGTGAGCGGTGCCATGTCACCGCCCAGGATCCAAACAGGGGAAACTCCGGGCAGGCCGGCAAAGCAGACTGCGCTAACTTAACCACTCATCCACGGGGCCGGCCCCTCTTTTTGTTCTTCTTTATTTTATTACTTGAACTTTAGCCCTCCTGTTCCACTCAGGAACACTATTATAATGGTGTTTTTTCTAAAATTTGTGTTCTTTTACAATTTTTATATCTTAAGCTCTTTTGAGAACAAGGCGAACATTCTTTACAAATACAATCATAAATATATAAAACACAAAATATACTATATAATATGAATAAATATAAAAGAATAAAAATATAAATAGCTATAAAATAAATGATAAATATAATATTTTACATATTAAATATAATAGAAATAATGTAGAAAGTTAGTAGGTTAATGGGAAGTTTCTGGATCAGTTCAGATGTTCATATTTAGCTTACAAAGTATCTGAGTATCGATTCAATTGCATTTTTCTACTTTTTGCAATATTTTGTATTTGGAAAATGTATTTTGTTACAACTCACACATATATTCCTCAGTAGGAAGGCACTGTAGAGACTTTTTGAGAAAACTTTTGTTCCTAATAGCATCGAATCCATGTGCCCTGCTATTGGAAAATCTTGTAAACAGTTTCATACCGAATAATGACAACTTTCCTTGACCCAGTCTTCTTGAGTTTTTTGGTCTAATTCCCTCATTTCTTGAATTTTGTCTGATGCTTAAATGGTTCAATCTTGCATCATTTTTAAGTAAATTGCCTCAGAACTTCTTTTTGTAAGTATTATATATGTTCATGAAAACTAAATCCTGGCTACCATTAAGAAGTCAGCTTCCTTTTCGACGTTAAGCAGAAAGTGAAAGTGAAAGCAAAGCCAGCTTGTCCCTTGTTGGATTATGTATGCCACTTGTAAATACTATATTTTTAAAACATAGAAATGTTTACATTTTGGCAAACTCTTCATATCTACTGTTTTACATAATCCATTTCTCAATAATTGGCATGTTTGGGGAAGCGTGAGGAAATGCAATGAGTAGGGAGAAATGAGTCTCATTTCTGTTTCTAATTAATGGTGGGCTTTCTAGGAGTCACCAAACCTTTTTGGCCTCTGACTTTATAGTTATAAGGTGCAGGAGTTGGACTAAATACTCTCCAAGATTTTTTTCATCTCTCCGATTATCTGAATCTGATTTATTTAATGCATTTTACTAGTTAGACAATTTGGGTTTGATACTTTAATTTGGGACAGCTGTTTTAATTTGATGGGAAAATTTGTAAACTAAATGTGCAAAAGTGAGTGACTCCCTGGGCCTGAATCTTCACTTAATCATCTGAGTATAAGACTATATACCACTTTCCGTAACTGTAGTCAGACCAACCAGCATTTGTTGTCACATAGATTTTTTGCTGGTACTGTGTTTCTCTTTGCCAGTATTAAAAAACAACTAGCATTTTTTTTCTCTTGGTTGCCTTTCACGTTTTGTTACACTTTCACATTTTGCTCTGGGTACTGTATGTGTCTGTGGTTAAGCTGCAGTCATCTTAGATGTCGTTTTCTGAGGACTTAAGTTTTTGAAATTGCTTGGTTGGTTTCATTGTATGCGCTGTCTTTTCTAAGGTCAGGATTCCCACCTGTGTTCTTGGAATCAGCTGGAGTGACTCTGCTTGTGGGTCTGATGCTCTGAAGCGCATTGGATGTTGGTCTTGAGGAGAGTCAGCATCTCCCTTGATAAGCCTCATTAATGGGGATTCGCACAAGGGATAACTAACTTTTTCAGAGACAAAGAAGAAGAGCTTCTTTTGATCCCAAAGGAGGCTCAGCGGAACTGAGGCTTCAAGGTCCCCATTCCAATTCTCAGTGTCCCACGCTTGCTCCGTCAAGACCTAATTTTCACATGAGAGACCTAATAACCCCATGAAATGTACCTGAGTTTTAATTTGACCACACGGAACTTCAAGCCACAGTCTGCTCTTCAGTCGTAGTGGTTCTAAGGCTACAAGAGCCACAAGACTCCTCCAGCACAGTCGTGGAAGAGCTCTGACTCCGGGCTATAGCTGCTGCTGAGAATTTAAAACACTGAGCTTATACCCTTCTTGTCATCTCTCCAGTCTAGTCAGAAATAGCCATTATCCTCAGACTTTGTAATTCTCCATTCTACCATAACGTTCTGTTGAAATAATTATTTGTTTCCCATGGCCTATTCCTCAACTTAGACAACTGTGGGAGATAATTTAAGAAACTCTTTTGACCCTAAAACCATGGATTACCAGGATCTTATTACCCATGATCAGTAATATTACCTCATTTAAATCTAATAAAGACAGGCAAACAATTGTAGATTCTCATCTTTGCGGGTCTATTTCCTGGAACGTGCTGCTCCTGGTATGTAATACAGTAGCAAAACCAAAACTGTTCTAGGTATTCAAACAGAACGGGATTTAGCACAGAGTATATGAATTTTCTAAAACCGTTGGGAGGGTTAGAGGAGTAAAGGTCAGGAAAGCCACTGCTAGACTTTAGGAAATCAAGACACTTAGTATCTCAAAGAACTGATACCACATTCTCAGCTGCCCACAATACACCCGGAGGCCACTGGTAGTACCC